AAAGGGCGGCCTATAAATAATAAATAAAATCAAACTCATGGATTTTTGCTTTCTAGCCTGGTGCCATAACCACTAGACCAAACTGGCTCCCTTTTAATCTTCCTATTCAATGTTTTTAGTGGTGTTTTTTTTTTAAAAAATATAGCTACATTTAACTTTTTTAAAGAAATGTGTTGTTTCACAATACTACCTAGCTGCTTTCTAGCATGTTTCCATTTTGTTTTGATTGCTTTGTGTTTTGAAGAGATGTTTCAAGTTCCTTCTTGAAGATTGAAGTCCAGCTCAATCTGCATCAAGCTAAACATATCTAACTGGTACCATGAACTCATGATTTGGTGAACTGGTAGAAGAACCCAGGTTGGTTTGGTATGGGGCAGAGGTGGGTTACTGCCAAACCGGACTGAACCAGTAGGGGCAGCAGTGGGAGGCTCCGCCCACCTTCCCATACGCTTCTGTGCATGTTCAGAAGCGTTGGGCACACGAGACCGCCTACTGCCACATACCTCCCAACGGCCGATAAGACCCCACAGGGTGGGCCTCCTTAGGACGCCGTCAACCAGACAGTGTCGACTGACGGGGCCTCGGAGGAGGGCCTTCTCTGTGGCTGCTACGACCCTGTGGAATCAGCTGCCCCCAGAGGTCCGGATCTCGCCCACCCTCATGGCCTTCAGAAAAGCTGTTAAAACCTGGCTGTTCCGGCAGGCCTGGGGATGTTGACCTTATTATGTAGGGTCCAGCCCCAATCTGAACGTATGCGTGTTGGAGAATTTTTAAATTTTTTATTTTTTGTTCGTTTTCTTTTCTTGTTCTGTGTAAGCCGCCCGGAGCCTATAAATCTAATAAATTGAATTGAATTGAATTGAATTGAATTGTATGAGCAGGAGCAAGAGCAGGAGTAGTAAACCGGTTAGCAACCCACCACTCGTATGGGGGGGGGGTTCACCCACAAAAGGGCGAACGACAAAAGCGCGCCTGACTAAACCGCGGTGACAAAACTGCGAGTGCTAAAGCGCGCCGACGAATGAGTGCTGAAGCGCGCTGACAACAGTGCGCCGACAGAAGTGCGCTGTAACCCTAACCCTAAACCTAACCCTAAACCTAACCCTAAACCTAACCCTAAACCTAACCCTTACCTTCTTAAATCGCGCTTCTGTCGGCGCGCTGTTGTTCGGCGCGTTGATGACATCGCGGTTTTAGCGACGCGGTTTAGTCGGCGCGGTTTTGTCATTCGCCCTTTTGTCGGGTCATGGTATGGGGGCAGGGAAGTGCTCACCAATCAGAATGAAATGAACAAAAATGGTAAATTTGCCTCATCAATATCCTTCCCTCTTCTAGTGGTCATCCAAATACTTGCTAGAAAGCAGGTTGCAAATCCTTGAAAATCATAATTCCGTAGCATGTTTTTAAACACTATTTTTGTTTATCGTAAGGTATGCCAGCTCTGAATCCCAACTCTTCTAATCAAAGTGACAACAGCAGAAATATTCTCCAGTTTGCTGAACTATTTTTATCTGTAGCTCCAATTCAATGCCCATACCTGCCAGTCAAAAGTTCATACATTAAGATTCCCAGTGACCAGTAGTCTGCTGAAATATCATGACCTTTGTTCAGAATGATCTCTGGGGCTACGTATTCTGGAGTTCCACAAAAAGTCCATGTTTTCTTTCCAAATCCTATTTTTTTT